ACGACGTTAAAAGCCCAGTAAGCTATGCGTGGGCATCAAAATGCTAAACGCAATAAAAGAAACGGGCTTCACTCCCTGATCCCGAAAGAGCCCTGATTCGGCAGCGTTGGGTAGGGAAAGTGCAGGAGCTGTTGAAATCTTAAGGCCATTCAAAGCTGCCTAAACCGCACCGAACTAAAGTGACGATCTGTACCTACATTGCACGCGTGCTTGCATCCGAGTCCTCGATAGAAGAGTTCGTCACGCAAGCAAGAACGATAAGGTATGACCTCATCGGTCTGGCCGAGACGAGATGACGCCACCAATTCAACGCCGTCTTTGACACCGGAGATGAACCGTTCATAGGAGCTTAGGCTTAGGCTTAGCTCCAAGTTTCGAGGATCTGGCAACTTTTCGATTTTCCGCGTTTTTCGCGTTGTTTGCGTTTTTGGAGGTTTCGCCGTCCTATTGAGGTTTCGACGGCTTTAGGGAGTTTTCGGCGAGTAGATCAAATCTAGCGACTTTTTCGCCACATACGCCTTTCCCTCTCCCTAAAGCTAGGCTAGATCTTCGTGCAACGCTTTGCCGCGCTTTCCCGTCATTTCGGCGACTTTCCGAATCGCAGTCGGAAGACTCGTCCACGCCCAAAAAACTCGTCCGCACTACAACAACCCGTTCGCTACCACTGCTTCGTGCTTAAAATGGCGTCGGCGTGGCGAAAATCGCGTTTTCTGCGTTTTTCGCGGAGAACTCGTCCGTGCCCAGGTCACTCGGCCTGGGTTACATTAACTCATCCGCACTATGGTATCTCGTTCGCTAGCACTGATAGCCGGCTGAAAATGGCGTCGGCGAAACGAAAATCTCGTTTTCGGAGATTGCGCCGGACAACTCGTCCACTACGGCAACTCCTCCGCATAATATTCAAAATTTAATATTGTGATTGCGTGACGAACTTCTCATTTTCGCAAGACCTACGTGCGCGTGAACGTAGTCCCGTCCCTCCCTGTGGAAAGGTTAGCCTTCGACTTGTCGGGTGCCGCGACGCGACCGCCGTCTCCGTCTCATATCACCTCGAAAACTTCTTCTTTTTTGGCGCTTTTCAGGCTTAAAAGTCGTTTTTGAGCGATTACCTTGCGCGGTGCCCTCCCTTTCCCTTCCCAAACTTCTCGACAACTATAACCCAATCTGCTTGCTGTCTGTCGTCTACAGACTCCACTCGAGTCACCCTAAACAGGATTGGCGGAACACCGGACGAAGCGCAACCATGTGAGCAAGCAGGGTTTCGAAAGCGATTTAGTACGATGGACCACATCCACACGGTAACAAGGTTCATTGAAGTATCGCGAGAGTACAACAGACCGCTCTATTCCACTTTCATCGACTTGAAGAAGGCCTTTGATTCAGTGGAGATAGAAGCAGTCTCGGAAGCCCTTGATAGTCAAGGAGTCCCTATTCAGTATATAAAGATTATTCGTGAGCTGCACAGAAATTTCACAGCGAAGACATTATCATTTTGTTACGATATTAACATCGACGCCAAAAGAGGAGTTAGACAAAGCGATACCATCTCACTAAAATTATTTACCGCCATCCTCGAGAACATCATTGGATTGGGATAGTATGAGAGTGAAAATCGATGGTCGGCAATTACACAATCTTTGCTTTGCTGATGACATCGTCCTTATAATACCAAACATTAGCCAAGCGGGACGTATGCTTTCCGACTTTGAACAAGCCTGTGGAAAGGTTAGTCTTCGACTAAATCTCACAAAAAAGATGTTCTTGAGGAATGAATTGGTTTCGTAGACCCCATTCACACTCAACGGATAGAATATCTCCGAATGCTCCAATTATACCTATTTAGGTCGGGAAACCAATATGATGAACGACTTAGCTCCAGAGTTGAGCAGAAGGAAACGAGCGGCCTAGGGAGCTTTCAAGAGCATCGAGGATATAGTGAAGAGGACCAAGAATGCCCTACTCCGTGCCCACCTTTTCGACTCAACGGTACTTCTTGCCTTAACATATCACAAACCTGGTCGCTGCATAAACAGGATGAGAGATGACAGCGTAATTGAAAGCGCAGTCGAAAGAACGACACTAGGAGTATCCGTTTCACGCAAGTAAGGAAAGTGATCCGAAGCCCTAACTTGCGCCAACGATCAAAAAGCAAAGGTGCCGTTTTGTGCGCCAAACAGTCGAAGGTGATGAACAGGTGATCCGGACGCCTAATGCGTATGAATGACAACCGATGCACAAGAGCCGTTAGTGACTGGATTCCTGAGGATGTCAAACGCACTGCAGGAAGACCACCGACTCGATGGTCAGAGTTCTTCACGAAAAGCCTAGAAGAAAGATATCGTGCTCAATGTGTCCCTAGAGCGAGTGGAACCCACGGGGCTACTCTTGCACGCAAGAAGGAAAAATGGAACATTAATTGGCGCCCGATAAATCCACTCGAGGATCAACTCGACCACAGATGACAGGTGGTACAGGTAGGCCGGAAAAAGCAATGAGGTTTAAAGGAAATCTCGTAGCTATGGAAATTACTCGGAGTCAACGTCAGTGCTGAAACTATACCTTTTTGATAACTACTTATTTAGGAACATATAATTCTGCCATGTTATTCTTTAAAGGGACAAGGATTTACGGCTGTCGACGTGGTGGCGCTTTTCACGGGAAATCCGGTGGATTTTACTGTCAAATGAACGGGACTGGCAAAAATTGGTGTGGAAACAACGCCAATAAATTGTAAATAAAACGTGACCCTCTAGCAGATTGTATTCGAATGAGCAACTTTAAACCCATCATCATCACTCGTCTTCTTCAACTAAGTACGTTTAGGGCGCTGAAGACCTATTTGACTTTAGAAAGTAGGCTTGAAAATTTTTAGGACAACATTTTATATCTCTTTAAGCATTGGATGAGACGATTAGTGCCGAATTTTCTCCTGTAAGAACGTGAATATGGTAACCGGTCATGCACAAATAAATCCACGATTCACATAACTTTCTGAAAAATAAAACAAACTCAACACACAGCAGAGCCAAAACAGGGTGCTGTAGTCGACTGCGAAAGTTCGTCACTAATTTTATCCTTTCGTGCTTTCTTTTTAGTTTTTTCCTTTGGGTTTCCTTTATTTTTATAGTTTCTTGCACTTTAGCTTTCATCGTCTTTAGTCTAATACTTGTTTGGAAAATAAGGCTGGTTCAGTTTAGCTTATATAGCTATATTTGTACTTTATCTCATATTTTAACAGATAACCCACCCACGCACACCTTCCTTCACGAACACCAACGCTCACCCACCCGCGCAGACTGTCCAAACAATTTCCCGCATACCCACGCAAACCTACCGAAAAACCCATACGCCCACACTCACCCTGCCTACGCACAACGCCCACACGCCCACCCATGCACCCTTTCACGCACCCAGTCATAGACACGAATACCCACCTCTGCACCCCACGCAAAACTGACACCGCATCCACCCATACACGGCACTCACACACCCGTCAGTTCCCACGCAAAGACCTATCCACGCTAAACGACCCAGGCCTAATAGTTGTAGACACGTCAAGTATGGGCAGCGCATTCGCTATGGTATGAAGTGGAAGCTGAAGAAATGGTTGGCCCTTGCTGTCCAAGCATTAGATCCGATGTCCAAATCTGTTAATGTATCTCTGGGTCCATTCCTCCATGATATCTCGTCTATAAGGTTTGAATTATCTTTCTTCATCCTTTAACTTTTATTTACTGCTCATTATGCTTTAGTTTCAGAGAAAATTTAATTTAATTGTGTGGAATATAACCAAAAGAACGCTGAGACATGAGCAGAGCTCGGAACCCTGTTCGGGCTAAGAACGCTCAATCATTCTTGCCGCGGGCTCACGTGTTATCTCAGTCGGCTTTTGCCTTAACGGCGCTGTAAGCAATCACCCGTTAAAGGAAAAGATCTGGAGAACGGAAATTGGCATTGAACACAGTTAATGTTCCGAGTTCTGCTTCCATCTTAGCATCTCTGAGGTTGTATTTTTGTTCGCTTAAGCCTTCAGTGGAAATATAAAGGATAAAAAGACCAAGCTCTCGGCGTTGATTAATCTCTGTAGGGAATGCATATCTGGCTTATGTAATGACTCGCGGCCGCCTACCGATATATCAATCCACTGCTGCTATCCTCCCAAACAGATCTAGCGCTAATTTGTCGACTCCGGAACGATGGAAGGCGTGTTGCGCTTGGAGCACGAAATCGAACCTATGTGTATTGTAGGGCACCTCTCATAACTGCACTACACGTAGCCCTACATCGCATGCTGTAACACGATTTAAACGGTGTTATGTTATATATTTTTCTAGTATTTATTTTTCTCCTAATGGCTTTTCTCCTAATGGCCTCACCGTGGCTGGGAGGTGTTCTTGGGTGCCGGGATGCAATGCACAGCAGGTGCATTCGTCCTCCTGGATGAATCTCCCAATCTGAAAAGGAGTCCGGCGTTTCCATCAACAAGCCAAGCTAAGAGTAAACCAACACCAGGATCGACCAACGGTCTGGCATCAAACTAGTCCCATGGTGGTAAATCTCCTTCCAATCCACAAGGGCTCCGACTGTTTGTGGGTATCCGAGTAAGTGTTTATTTAGGCGCGTATAAAGCAGTGACAAAAGAGGCTATGCAGTACACACTGGATCAGCCCTGACCCGATCCCGGACCGCGGCAAAACCTTCCCTCTGCAGTTTTAGAATTGAAGCAAGACTTGTCTGGTAGGGTAGTACAATTGAATTGATGCACCGATGTTTTCTTACAAATGAATAATGCATACGTGAAATATGCAATTACGCACTTCTACGAAGGCGGACAAAGTCGAATGCATAGCCCATCCCATAGGATTTGATCAACGCCCAGACCTGTATCCTTTTGTGCTTTTCATTTATTAGTTTAAGCTCTTCGTTTTGTTGACTTTGAACGTACTGTAAAATCTAGCTGAAATGTAGTTTCAGACGCAGTCTGTTCATTTTGATCTCACACGATTTCCCCATTCCTTCCGTTTCATGGAGCTGCAATGGTCAATGTTTCGCTGTTGCCTCTCATAAAATCCTAAGATTATGTGATAAGACCGAGGTGCGTCTTTTTGTTTCCCTGCTCTTATGATACCCATTCGCTTCAGCTAAAAATTTTCTAGTGATCTCATTCTGTCAAGAAACTTTCGACCGAATCACTGCTTTCCCTACGTTCGTTCGGTTACTCTACGTCGCTGGTCGCTAGTAGTGAAAGTGGTCAGGTTATTCATCCGCAAATAGTTGAGAAGTGCTCCTTGCCCACCTTTTGGACTCAACGGTGTTTCCTGCCATAACCTATTCATCAGAAACCTGGACTCTGCGTTATTGAAAGCGCAGTCGAAAGTACGATGCCAGGAGAATCCCGTGTCACACAAGGTAGGTGAACCGAAGATCCGCCCCGCCTCAACGATCAGAAATCAAAGATGCCGTTGTGTACGCCGAACAGCTGAAGATAAGGTGGACAGGACGCATAATTCGAATGAACGACAACCGATGGACAGTAGCCCGTTAGCAACCGAATCAGTCGGGATGTCAGACGTACTACAGGGAGGCCATCGACCAGATTGTCGGAGTTCTTCACGAAAACCCTAGAAGAAAGGTATGATGCTCGACGAGTCCCTAGAGCGAGCAGAACCCACTGGGCTATTCTTGCACGTGACTTGAAAAAGTGGAAGATTTACTGGCGTCCGCTCGAGTCATTTGATGATCAACGGGACTGGTCTACAGGTGATACAGATGATGCCATTCAAATTAGTCCAAAACTATGAACAAGAAAATTATAAGTGTAACATTACATGTATATTATTGGTAGGGAAGTCGATGATATCTACATGGAGGTGAAAGAAAGAGCGAAGCGAAATGAAGAAACAAAAGAAATAAAGTGATTAACGAAGCACAGAATGACGATCATTTCACAAGAGAGAGCCTTACATACCGAATCTTCAAGAATATTCGCCAACATTGTCAGAGCAATGACTCTGGTTTTTCTGATAAAAAAAAATCATAGAAAGCTCCGCCGATTCGCCCACGTTGGCAATTTCTGCACCTAGTTTTCCGTCTTTATTTTCGGTTCATGCACATACAAAGGCAGCTACCCATTGCAACAAGTTTTGACCAGGACTTCACCGTTTTTCATTTCCAGCTGTTACGATGAATTATGGTTGTCGCATGTAATGGTCGGTAGTAAGAAATACCTAAATACGCTCAATATAACCAGCAAAATCCTTTACCATTCTGACAGCACTGTGCTCGACGGGTTAAATGTAGCATGTGGTAGGAATGTTTTACTTCTAATGAATAAAGCGAAGCATATTCTATAAACTTTGCTATTCTCAACCAAATAAGTCCTCTAGCTGTGGAAAATTTACTGTTTATTGTCCCAAAAACCAGCATTTGGCGTGTTTAATAGCGGACGATTTCATACTTTTTGACTCCGCGAAATCAACGATGGTTGTGCATGTATCAATGTAAAGACGAGGGTTTAGTGACAAGTCTTTATATCATTTTTTTCTATTCCAATCTATTTTTCGAGGAAAAGAACGATGCCCGTACGGGTGCCATCAGCAATTCCGTCAACGGGAATGATCCGGTGAACACAAATCGGCATTGGACCGAGTTAAGCTGAAGCTGTAGTTTGAAATCTGAGCCCCCGGAAAAAGTAATCTCGGTTTTGAATCTGGCCAGCGCTCTAAGTTTTGCAAACATCTCAGCATTATTGTAGCAGTATTTCACACAATACCCTGCCGTGGGAAAATAATGGACAGCAAATAAGAAGTTAAGCAGAGGGACGGCGATTCCATTTTGCGGTATAGTGAAGTTAACATCACAATAATACTGAAATATTTGCAAAACTCCGGACCGCAGGTGTATGCGGTGGGCAACGAACGCTCTCATCGCTTTCTGTAAGTCTTCCACTTAACAGTTCACGTGGAGACTCGTAGAAATCAATGAGTGTGTGAAGAAGCTACTTTGTTTTTAATGAGATTGAAATTTGTGCTTCGTTGTTTTCCTGCCGAGACTATGGAGTTATAGGGCCGATTAGGTTGCAGTCAACTTCAGTTTTCCAACCTCTGAAGATGGCGAAATACGCAGAAACCTCAGCCAGCACTGTATTGAATAAATGTTGTTGACAACCTCGTGTTTACTTAAGAATAAAACACTGATTGTGCTTAAATCATATCTATCCGCCTGATCTTTAACAATCAGCACTGTAGTGTACAACAACATTTTTCCTTTCAACGTCGATCTCATTAAGTTTTCCAGAAAAATTCAAAAGGGATCAAGTAAAATCCAAAAGTAACGTCTGGCAAATTTACGATTTTCTCGGCTTCGTCGTAGGATTCTCACATCGTACTGTTACACTAGTAATATACTCTGATAAAAGTAGCTATAGCAATCACTGTTAACTTTTTTATTCTCCTACTAGCAATAGCATCTAGAGTAGAAACCCGTTCTCATAAACATCGCATTATATCCAACTATTTCATAACCATACCGAAATGAACCAAGCGAACGTGAGTCGCCAGTGAATACTGTATGAACCGCTCCATTACATTCTAAGGATGTATATCATCTCATTGATAGGTTAACATGAGGTTGTTGCTAAGTAATTATTCGACTAATATTTCATCGTCTTCGTCTTCTCTTCACCGAACAATTATATCAACTGCCGCCGCCCTGTATAGAAAAGCATAGCCCGATGAAGTTAGCCCATTCGAGCACTGCTCCACTGAAGAAGACGCAACTCGATACGACGAAGACCACTTCGAGAAATCATCAACTCTGACTAAGACGAACGCATCGAAACTAGTCGAATAAACATTTGGTAACAGTCTCGTGTTAGGTTATCAATGAAACAACGTACACTGGTCACTTATACCGACGTTTAATAAAGATCGGTTTGCAATGGTTTTATTTCAAGAATTACGGACCATAGCAATTTCACAGTCCACGTCTGATGCAAGCTTGTTAAAAACAAGTCTGGATACACTGCAGCGCTTGTAGCTCAATAATTAGGTGTTCTGCAACAAACACTGGATCGCTCGTTAGTTGAACCATGCTCCCCAGCTCAGCTAATCTCCCATCCCTATACAGCTAGGCAAAATCTGTAGGAAACTTGTCAGAGAGAATAACAACACTAATACATCCGTAAGCTCCGAAAGTCATTGTATGAGTCACATATGCATCCTGTCATGGACACGATGCCAAGAATCGAGTCAAATGCATAACGCATCTAAGGTATCGGCGAACACCAAGCGATTTATTCTTTGGCTTAAAGTTATTTCATTTTAAGGATGGAAATTTTTTGAGGAGTCAGAAGATGTTGTATTTGCAATAGAAGTGAGTTCTAGAAATGATGAATACCCCATAAAAATAAGCGGTGCCTATAGTACCGTAAAATAGTAAAATAAAATAGTAAAATAGTACATTTGCACTGCGAGTGGAAAATTCACCACTATATTTAAATCCACATCTATCACCTTTCTTTTCAGCATTTTTCAATTTCCCACTTGTCTATTCTTAAATGCTGCTCGAGTCGATTCTACCTCAAGTCCTGCAATGGCCATACTACGGCTTCAGCTCTCACCACAGAAGCTCGCCATTCCTTTTGAATCGGGGACACTTTCCCGGACAAAAGATACCCTTCAATTCACAATGAGTTGTCGGTTCAATCCCGGTCTCTGGCATCGTCAACCTTTCTAGCCCACTGGCCTCCGCAATGTTAGTAGAAGACCTGCCTTGAGCTAGAAACGCCGACTTGATACATTGGTAGATCACTACGGGTCACCGTATAAGCCACATATGCATTCAATCACCTCTATGATGCCACCACGAACGGAGACCAATGCAAGGCAATCCTTCATGAACTGATCCACACGAGGCACCTTATCCGCTTTTATCTCAACTATATTGGGTTAGTGAGTGATCAAAATAACCACATTTTACATTTCTTGACATAACTTTTTATTTTCTCATTTGTACACCCTTCCGTGTTTGCTACTATTAAGGCTTCCAGTGTAAGTTATAATAAATCATAATTTCACGCATAGCTGCAATATTTTCACCTGGAAATCAACAGATTAGAAGTCATCTCCAGGTGGAAGCATTGCAGTTATACGTGAAATTATGAAGAATGCCCATTCCAGTAACAACTACTAGCCTTCGAACAATTATCTGTTATGAGCTGCCCCGAAAACAGTAGTCGCAGATTCTGGGGTGTGACTTTTGCAATTATCTCAGAATCAATGTTTTACTTTCTATTTTCTGTCTACTACAATGTTTTACAACAGTGCATTAAGCGGAATACAACCTATCTCAGCATCCTTGCGGTTGTTGCGGCGGATAACAGGTGAGCATCCGGAAACAGTAGTCGCGGATTTGAAGCGCTCATGATGTTCCCCACCTTTGTTCATATCTCAGCATCACTGAGATTGTACTTCACTTCATGCCCTGTCATGAGAAATAGGCAGTAAATAAAAGTTTAACACGAATGTTCTGTAACGATCTATGCCATATTTACTAAGAATACACTAATTTCTGCCTGTTTCAAATCAAGGATTAAATGTGCAGCCACAGTACCATCGGCATAACAGAATTTATTCATATATAATGCCCACAACAATTTCGATCAGCTATAAGTGCTGCCCTTAAAAGTGTTCAAACGCAGCAGTCAGCTAAATGGGAAACAACTCAAACGACATAGATGTTTTATGGTAAGGTGTAACTGTAACCACACTATGGTAAATTCTACTACATACTATAAAGCAGTAAACTTACAAACGAAAGCACCACATATTGCGTGAACGCAACAAGAACTTGCCGTACTGACGGCACAACGAACGCACTACTCTGAGGAACTGGGAGAATTTTCACTCCTCAGTGGTCGCTATTTTAAAATAATGCACTAATATTTCCATCGAGAAAATGTAAATGGGGTCAAAATGAGTAGCCATGCTTCGAAAAACCGTCATAAAAAGTACTTTTTAAGGACTCTTCCTCTTAGAATATCAGTTCTAAAAATCTCCTTTACAATAAAGAAAGAAACAACCAGAGAACAAGTTTAGCATTCGCACCGGAGCGCACAGCAGTTTTATAAATCAAAGAAAATTCTAGATGAAGTTTCCATACAAAGTCCCGTTGCTATGAAACGGAATTGCTACTTAAAATGCAACATATCAGCAAGTCGTAGATGAACACGAACCAACATGTGTAAAAAAAAACAAACAAGATTCATCTTGCAAAACTTACTCAAACTCTTTTCAGGTATGAAAGTAATGTCACACATAATACGGAATATCACAGCACTGCTGCCGTCTATGATCAAATAAACCAAGCGCACTCAACGAATACAAGTAATCGAAAAGGTAGTGATACGTCTTATGCATTCATTCGACGATCTTGCAATTTGGTGTACCAAAATGCAAGCCTTCCCGTCATAGCTTCAAAATCTATTGGGAAGTCTGCATACTTTCCTCGCTCCTTTTTCAGGATGAAATTATGTCGAATGCTAAAAAGCACCAAGGAATAAAAGAAAAAACATCAAACTTCCCACCCAGATTCTTGACTCTGATCAAGGAGCAGTTATATACTGAAGGAAAGAACTAAATCGTAAGTAAAGGAAGTATTTTTTAAATCTACCATCTTTTTTCTGTTCCCGACATAACCTCAGAATATTGCCAAACTGCTTTAGAAACTTAGCGAAAAATTCTTGCAACATTCGGTGAACATGTAATATGTTTAATCGGGAGTAGCAAAGTGAACTAAAGAGAAATGTTCTCACGAACAAATCGACGTAAAATCATCTTCTTGCCCTTAAAACTTGAAAGAAAGTCACACCTGCGACTTAGTAGGCGTAATATCACTATTTCGAATAAAATGTTACGTTAAAAAGTGGCAATGTCCCTTTTTAGAACCATTAGTGAGACTGGGGAAATTGCAAAAGGAATACTGCCAAAATGAAAAATTTGGGCTGTACCTATATGCATTCCACAAATTTTTTCCTCGTTTTGCCCATTCATCAGCTTGGTAAACAGGCTCAGGTAGTGAAATAGGAAGTTCGGCAACCTGAAAGTCCTTCAGTCTAACTCACCAAACCAAAGTTTTACGAAACCATAGCAGAAATGATCAAAAGAGAGAATAACGACAAGAACTTACACCACTTATGCTCCCAAACATGTGCTAAAATAAGCAAAAAAAAGTTTTGCAAACCTGGTGATGGAATGTTAATGCTAATAACAATGACTGTGCTTCATCCATCGACATATCATTTTCGTCGACGATCACTTGGTAAGCTGTAGGCTTTGAGGTACCCTAAACAAATTTATTATATTGTTTATCACTTATTACAAAAACATGAAGAAAAACTGAAAGCTGAGGCCATGTCGATAAAAAAAATCCGTACAAGTACCAAACCTCACGACTACTGTACATTCGTTGAGCCATGAAACGTAAAGTTGACATTATTTCCCACAACTACGCCACAATTCAGTATTTTACAATAAATAATTTGTATAAGTAATCTTCACGACCGACTTCCTATTCCTCTAGAAGCTGATCAAGTAGTTCTGAGGACAGACTTTCCCTTAAACTCGGTATTAGATTATAAATGTCGTTTTCTTTTCTCAGCAATCGCTGGGTTGTTTTATAGCATAGGTTTAATTCCTTACAAGAAGAACACACAACAAACGGCAGCTGACGTTTCGGCAGTATCGCCTTCTCCAGAGCCTGGAAAGGTACACTGATACGTAATTTACTAGATCAAACGCTTCAACAGCAAAAACAGAAAAGTGAAAATCTATATGGTAATCACATGAAGAACAACTTCTCGGAAAAATCAACCGTTTTTTACGTGCCTTCCACTGAGGATGAAACGCTAATTAGAGTCGAATACGGTAGACGATTGGACCACCATATTCGATATTGCTCAAAATCGATGTGAAGGCACGGGGCGAGATCACGTGTGACCTCTGTGCATTCCTCTCTGGTATTCATTAAAGGAATTTTGGCATTTATAAGTGGTATTCTACAATAAAATTTATAAACAACCCTAAAATGAATAGCAAGGAGGAATGCCCACAGGTCACACGCGACTTGGCCCTGTATCTTCACATCGACGAGGAATCGGCAACCATATGCGACTCTGAGCGACTGTTCTTTCTCGGTGGAAGACAGGTTAAAAAAAGCGGCTCTGAAGAAGGCGATTCTGCCGAAACATCAGCTACGATTGTGTTGTATATGTTATTGTATGGAAGTAAACGTATGCTGTTTAACAACTTCGCGATTGCTGATAGGGAAAACGACGAATGTGTATAAGGTTCTAAGTATTTCAGAAATGGGGAAACATCTACTAGAGCATCCAATACGTAATTTAAGGACACTATACAAGCGAACAAGAAACTTATTACGATCTGACCGATCCAAATGGTACTAAAAGAGCCACGTGTTACAGGTGGAAAGACAACAATAAGTAGAGAGCAACTCGCTTTTAACGGTTTGTGACTCTGCATGTAAAATTCGGTGAGATCCTGCCGCACCACTTCTGTATCAACAACGGTTGCAGGCTTCGGATTTTCGAGGTCTTCAAATAAATTTCTTCAACGATATCTCATTCAAGTATCATTGCACGGTATTCCTAATGAGAATACTTTACAAATAAAAGCTATACACTTACGCTCGCCGTCCACAACGAAACGGGCATTATGTCGTTTTGTTGTCACTATTACGGTAAACTTTGGCTCCCACGACTCCTTACCATGCAGTGCCCCAAATTCACGACATGCTTCTTTTATTGCACCAAGTTCATCTTCAATTACCTAAAAGTGGTTCGATACTTAATTCAACACAAACGACTAAAAATCAGAGAACACGTAAAATTCACCATTCTATATTGACCTTCAGAGACCCCGTCACGTGTAATGACAACACTTTCCGGCCACACTCCACGATTCTTTGAGAACACATCTAAGATCCATTTGAAGCGAGCATTAAGTACCCTGCCGTCAACCTAGATAATAGCCGTTTTCAAAAAAAAAGCAATAGGGTTAAGTGTAACGCTGTGGTCAGTGATGCAGGTCATCAGAAAGCAAGGTGTTGATTCCACTCCAACCCCAATGCCCTACCGAATCAATATGAGAACGTATACTACAGTCAAGTTATTGGGAAGAACAAACTATGAACAAAGTTCAGTGAACAGTTATTGTGCGAAAGACTTTACTAGTCATGTACTAGTTGAACATATTTGTACACGTCTCAGTACTGTCCATTTCTAGGAAAGATCGATGGATTTTACATGCGGTAGAACACTCATTGTTGGCTATGACGTTGCCCAACCAGTGAAACCAATCAGAGATGATGCTGCCTCTCCTCAAGATTGCAACGAAAATCGACTCTAGGACATTCATAGTGAAGACGAAGTTCTTAAGCAGCATCCGAAACAATATGCAAAATGTTCGAAGACCTTTGTGAACGATTAATGTAAGGAAAATGAATCGAAAGCACGAAATAATGCGATCCGCAAATTGGATGTGACGATGGGTCATGTAAAATGAAGACTGAAAAAAAGGAAGAAGCAATAAGAATATCGAAGAGCATGAACCTTCTCTTGATGTGGTGACTGGAAATGGTAATCACCTATAAAGCCCTCGGGATGCACAGCACCATTGAACGATATCTGGAAACAAGTGAAGGAGAAATACTGAAGAAACACACAACCTCGAACAACGATTCAACAAGTTATACTCTTCTGACTGGAAGATTTAGAAATAAAATATAATTTCTAAACATATAAAGCTTACTCCAACAACACTTGGCTTCTGTGGAGGCATTTTGTTCACAACCTCATCTCTGGTTGCTTTCCCTGGATGGGCAACGTCATAGCCAACAATGAGTGTTCTACCGCATGAAATCCATCGATCTTTCCTAGAAATGGACAGTCCTGAGACATGTGCAAGCATTTTCAACTAATATATGGCTAGTAAAGTCTCGCGCACAATAACTGTTCACCGAACTTCGTTCATAGTTTGTTCTTCCCAGTAACTTGACTGTAGTGTTTTGGTGAAATACGATGCTATGCTCATATACAACAACGACATAGAAATGCATGTGAATACGGATACACTCTTCAGCACTTGAGCATCTGATACGCCTATTTCCATAATGAATCAGCTAATACAATAACCACTTCACATTAACGTTTCTGTTTCGGAAGACTGTTTCCTCGCGAGGTGCGGAAAAAAGCCGCCTTTCTGACTCTCCGACAACTTTTTGACTCAACACATATAGACAGCACACCTAGTCCATCTATTTCTTACAGCAACTACACGATCGCTCATGTCAATGCGTTTAACTCCCATCCTCTATCTACTCCTTTGACCATCTCATAAATAACCGACATGAGATCACAATTTTAACTTATTATTTTCTGTCCACTCTTTTTAATGGCAGGGTATATTGCGAAATATAACTTCAATGATGCTGAGATATTTGCAAAACTCCGGAACGCAGGTGTATGCGGTGGGGAACGTAAAGCTACTGTCCTTTCCGAGGAGTAACGCGTTCACCACCACAGTCCCTCGTTTCGTCTGTCTCTCAACTCTCAGCTAGTTCTGTCGATCTTTGCCACAGCAATCACCCACCAGCGAGAATGATCTGGGGGCCCAAATCGGCAACGATTATAACTACAGCCTCAGCCTAACCGGATTCGTTGCCGACTTGCCCCCCCCCCCCCCCCCCCAGATCAATCTCGCTGACGCGTGATTGCTGTGGCAAAGATCGATAGAACTAGCTGAGAGACAGGCGAAACGAAAGACTCGTATAGTGTTGTGGTGAACGCGACTTGAGATCATTCATTTGAACGAGATCCTTGGACTTGTAGCACCATCTTAGTAGATAAAGAATACTCACGCGAAGGAATCCGGAGTAACTTCATAATTGATACCTCCAAGTTTAAGATTTGTTTTCATAACGAAGTTAGCACACGATCTGCTCTGCCTAAAAATCAAAAAACAAATTTCTTGCGAAATAAATTGCGTCATAATACAACTATGTCAAGTTCCGCAAGAACAATATACAAATTCAGAATGCCTGGAGCAAGTTTTACATATTTGATCCAGCGACAACCACGTACATGGAGTTCAAACTCCTGATACCGGCAAAACATTTTTTCCGAATTTTGTTTTTCAAGGCTCAATTCAAAAACTGTAGTACATGAATAAACGGGATCTCATCTCAAATGATGATAATGTTCCATAAAGGAAACGTTGGATTTTGTTGCTGGTACGCATTTTAGGGCTCAAAAGTTAAAATTTTTTAAAATTATGATTGCGAACTTACAACTTTATAACTGAACTGGCATTTTACAAATACACATACATATATACATGTATATGTATACATGTGTACATATACATGCATATATATATATATATATATATATATATACTACGTACTTCATACTTGATACTAATACTATATATAAACACATATATTATAAATATATACAAGTATATAATATATGTACACCTTCACTACGACACATTAAACTCTCCTATATAATCTTTAAATACTGCCAACAACTCTACGAAAAATTCGTGAAGTTCTCAACTCCTTAGCTACTCTAGTTATATGGTACTTACCGTCAGACTAGACATGCATATAATAAACGTGTTGGTCCGACGCCACCCGCCCGAAAAAGTTTCCTACCGCTCAGGTGTCCAACACTCAGTATCAATATTTTCTGGGAGAACAAAAACACTGACATAACACCTCGGTAAACTACCTCAAACCATTGAAGCCAACTACATTCAATTTTCTTACTGCACAGTAGTTTAGTTTCTGCAACGTATTTTTTGGCCACGTTTTTTTAAAATCCTTACGTAACCTTAACCTTGGTTGGAGGAGCCACTGCAACACACACGTGGAGTCGATCCCTTCACCCATGGCCCACCAAGCTTTCCATTCCTCCGGGGTCGGCAAATTGGTAGACTTGTGTGGGAGGATGGCAGCACTGGTTCGATACATCGGTAGGCCACCGCGAGTTATTGTAAAGGCCAGATATGCATTCAATCACCTCCAACGATACTTAATTAAGTCGAATGCACGGCGCATCCCTCAGGGATTGATTAACGCCGAGAACTTTATCCATTTACCCTTTACGTAACCTTCATTCATTCTGAACAATTTCCATCTGCGTGGTGCAAAAAGAAACGTCCAGCGCACGGCCACGGTTTCGTCGCTTTTTGACGACATTTTTGCAAACTATGTCGAGAAGATAACTTTTTCTATTACATATTTCCACGTTAGCGCCTGAAAATGTACCTCATTTCATTAATAGGCTAACATGAAGTTGTTACCAAATATTTGTTTGGCTGTTTCGATATCTTCGTTTTCACATTGATCATTCCTATCGAAAACAAAGTCGGTTTTCAACAGTGTTATAAACCTGGTAACCTAGAAAGCAATTTATCCTTAACCTCGGCACAACTATTCCTTTTCTGAGACTAAGTTAACACGAACGTGTTACAGTATGCTTTATACGGATTTTTCGGTGCCTTTCAAATGGATATGAATGAAAGTGATGAAAATGATACAGCGTTGATATAAACATCGACAAAATATTGTTGCAAATTTTCAGTAGGAATAAAGACAATTTTTTGACACGTTTACAAAACATGAAATAAAATTAGCTGCTATGCGAAGGATATATTTAAACTCACCGAGGTAATCTCTCAGCAAGCTCAGATGTAATCTGCTGCGTTGGTATCAAATATTTACGCTCCATAAGCTTCAAAAAATCTGAAGCAGAGATGATTGGAACAAAAAACACTTCACAAAGGCCAACATAAGAAATTCTATGACACCATGCAATTTGTTCTCAGCTCGATCGATGTGGATAATCAGAAGTGACTCTTTAGAATCCTTATATTCTTTGAATACCTGCAATGGAAAGAAACATGAGAAATAATTTGTATATAATGTGATTACCAATAACAAAAAGAATGTAAGACACTGGGCCTATTTATGATTCAAACCAAATTCGTGCTACTCCACTTCCCTATTTGTGAATTTCCCGATGAACGAAAACCCCATCAGAACCGTTACACACTTTCTCCAGTTCACTTTCCATTTCTATAGGTCTTTGGTCTTTGATGCCAACTTCAACAAACTTGCCACAGCATATTCCTCTGGTCTTAAACGCCTGCTGTAGTGCATTTATCACAATTCTGGAAAAATATTAAGCCTTTGACTGCGCCAACGCTACAAATTTCAGAAGCATAGATATCTAATAAACTTCAACATACCTTGGCAACTGATTAGTACGATCACTATGTACAACGACGATTCGATCTACGCGACCACTTTTGACGTATTTCGAATCCGAATCTTGACGCCAAGAGTACTAAAACAGTAAACCCTGTGGTAAACATAGTACAGCTCTAAAACAAAAGTATAGATCTGTTTGTTTCTAAAACAACAACCAGAAAAAGAGAATACATAGGAAAAAAGTCAATTGGCTACAACAAATAATAACACGATAACAACAAAGTTACACCCGACATGACTAACATCTGAGCCATCCATTTTACAACCGCTCTTTACTCCGTACAATATTCCAGGGGCACGTCGTCGAAACCCTTCGATTTTCATGGGAGAACTTGCTACCGTTATCCCAAATCTAGAAGAAAAAATCTTCATCAGTATGCAATCCACTTCCATTCTTTCTACGAAACAGTGAGACTAACGCCTTAAAAAAGTCGTTCTTCAACCCATTATCATGAAGATTCAGTGCTCGAAGAAGATCATGTATTTTGTTGAAACGATTGGATGGATTCTCAGTCACTATTTTCTGAAAATTAATCGGGTTTACAGCTTGTAGTCACAGAATGTTACAATGGTTCCCTATGTACCAACATTAGGTATATGAGATGAATCCACTTGGAAATGGGATTGCGCTCAAAATAGGCTGCTTATTTCGTGGATAATACATCAGAAACAAAAGCACGCTTCGAAACAGTATTACAATGATAGAAATAGCCTTCTCCTATGCTAATAATGGTTTGTAAAGTCTAATTAAAGATACACATACATGTTTCCCTATTAATTGCTTCTCTGGTGGAACTCGTTGATTAGGTGCTACTTCCAACAGCTCCATTGGAAAATACTGCACATTACCTCGTTTACGCCACATAACAGCTGGCCAATCAGGGTTAATAGGCACCCCGGTGTGAGAGAACTTCGCTAGTACACTAATTTCAGTTTTTGCCCTACAAAAGAAAAAAAATTGAATTACCAAAAAAACGCAAAAAAAGAGAAAAAAGAAGAGGAAATGCACTCTTAGCATACTACGCATCATAAGTACATTTTAAACGATGAAGAACAAAAATTTACGCGTTCGGAAGTGTATCCTTCAGTTCCTTGATAGGCCTACTGCTAATACCAATTGCAATAAAGCTTATAGGATTCGTAACACCGTAAGCTATGTAGTTCACGCGTACGCCTAAATAAATCCACCTAGTAAAATTTCTAGCTAACCTATGAAAAACGTAACATAAAAATGTGGTGTGTAATAAACAGCTAAACCACCAACCCTTTACATACTGATGAACTTGAATCCATTTACTATTCATGCGGCTATTAACACAGCTAAAGTCAAATTTCTGCACATTTTTCAGACCATCTAATTCCCTCACGCTTCTCATCAAATCCTGGCAAGTGAAGAACAGGCCAACGCGATCTGAAACTTGAAAATTTCTCATGGGATATTAACAGTGTCACACCCACATACAATTTGATATATTCGCAACGGTGTCAACCGATTTCAATATGCACATTGGCGGACATTAAGAGCGCTGAATTTGGAATTCGAAGCGTAATTCTTATGTTGCATAACTTTGACGTACAGAGCCATTTCCTGTATTTGTGCGGAAGCCGGCTTGGAAAGGTTGAATTTGTACAT